GGTTTACCTCTCCGACTACATTTTATCCGGAAAGTCACGTCTGAGAGACAATCCACTATGTCATATGGGCCTTCCCATGGAGAAGACAACTTAAGAGACTTCCCTTTGGTCTTCCTGGGATTATACAACCACACCTTGTCTCCTGCTACAAAGCTGACTTCAGTAGATCTCTAATCATAAGATAACTTCATCGATTCAGCAGACGTTTTCAAGTTTGAACGCACTTGATGGTGAATATCATCCATCCTCTGTTCGTTAGTTAATCTCCCGTATATATTTCTTTCCGATGAAACTTTAGCGACACAAGTCTTTTCTTAAATAAAACTGGTTTATTCTTTCTGAATACAACTTTGCAATACACTTAATTTTCACAGTCACGCTATAATAAACGCTATAATTCAAAACGAACGACTCACGTGCTCGACTCAACAATACGTCTCTCTCTGTCCGCAGTTCAATTATACATTGTTGCCATCATTTCTTGGCGGCTTATATATACAAGACTACCACATATCTAGTAGCCTTTCGAGGCTTCACGAACTTTCGAGAATATGACGTGTTACCAGCGTCACGTGATTCCTGCTGTCGTAACAATATATTGTTGATTGGTTTGAGGGAGGTTTAATTGGCATGGCTGAAATTGATATGTCATACCTCGCGTAGAGCTTGAAAAATTAGCAAGTAAGTGAAACTGTTGTATTAGCAACTACTATGACTTAGGCCTATCAGTGAAAATTAGTTAATTTGTAGAAGTGTAGTCAAAGTAATAAAACGCTTCATTTTCACAAAGTGGAAAGTAATCTGCATTATTCTCCTTTACTAACTGATACAAAAGAATACACTCAACAGTATAAACTGTTAAAAATCAAGCAAATAAAAATTGGAAAATTTTGCAGTGCTGTTTAGTACTTAGTATTTGAAATGAAATATATTAGTTAATGAAATATATTTTTCATAAAAATAAAGTTATTTTTTCTTAACTAAATACATGAAAGAATAATGGACAGGATTCCAAAAAATTGAATTTGACTTAATGTGCCACAGAAATAATTTTACTCCTGAAGAAGAATAGTCAATTGTTCGAAAGTGCTAGAGATTCTGGGTCTTTTGAAATCTTCTTGATATGTTTGATGATTCGTTGTGCTAATTCTTTCATCATGATAGAAATTACTAAAATTGATTACTAAATTCTGTATATTATACTATGCTTTATTTTAGATGAGCTATGTTTTATAAAACCATGGAAAAAAAGATTTAATTTATATTTTGTTGTGGTATACAATTTTGGAAGGAAAGGTGCATCATCCTTCACCCATTCACTTGTTGCACTTTCCACTAGATGTATTGAACCTACATTTTTCACAATTCAGCATAAGTGCTAACTTGTGTTTTCATTCCTCTCTTCTATATTCAGTGCATGGTAGATATATTCATATGAAAACACAAGGGTATAACTAGATATGTATGGAATCTCAGCTCCCCCCACCCCAGCTTTTTCAATAAAGTTTTTTAATTCAAATTGTTTCAGATTTTTTGAATTCAAATAACCTGTACATGTAATTTTTAAGACTTAGAAATTCATCTAAGTTTATACTTTACTTTCATTATACTTTCAAAAGGAACTCACCAGTACTTGACTCTCTGTCTAGTTTTGGGTTAAAGTTTCTAATGGGCAAAGTCTCTTTGATTTGTAAAACATAGCCATTTTTCAAAGTTCTAATGATCTTAAACTGCTCAATTATTCCTGGAGTATCACTGGAACTAACCTTTTTGTGAAATGATTCAGGAACAGGTTAAGGTTGGGAAAATATATTTTCATACAAGCCCTCCAATTCTACGCTTAATGCTGCATTGCTTATAAGTATTGTTACGTCTCTGTTTGTTAATTGATTTTTCGTAAATTCGTTCCAACGAAACTTTAGCGACACATATCCTTTCTTAAATAAAACTGATTTATTCTTTCCGAACACAACTTTACCGATACACTTATTTTCAACAGTCGCTCTATAACAAACGCTATAACAACGAACATTAACTTCAACAATACTTTCTGACTGCAGTTCAATTACTCACTACCTACACACATTGTCCCGTCACGTTGTGACCATCTTATATATACCAGACCACCCCAATCTAGTAAATGCTAGGGCATTCATGAAAGTTCGCGTGAAGGAGTGGCGTGACAGTAGTCACGTGACCTCGCTGACGCAACACTGCCCCCTCCTTAGTATTGTTCGTCTCGAACAACAGCCACTTACAATAAACCAATAACAATTAACAATAACTTAATTAAATGTACAGAATTACAAACACAAAATTACAATTCAACAAAGTCTCTTAATTTTACGGGACGTATCTTCTTCCGTACTGGTCTCCGTC